CTCCAATCTTTCAATATTGTCTTATTAGAAACCATTCTTCAGGTTACTTTCTCTTCTCTCTTCTCGCTCATACTTTTATTTACCTCGCACCTTATTGCATATTTCGTTATCTGTCTACTTATTTCCGTGGTCTTTGGGGTTTCTTCCAGGCTTTGAAACTTTTGTTCTTGTATTTGTTATCCAATCTTTTTTTTTTCTAAGTTCTAACTCGCTGATAAGTTCAGCTATGTTATAGGGTATTGGGCAGGTTCTAGATCTCATGCATAACAATGGGCTTTGTATTCTCATTTTTTTTCTATCATACTCATGAAATCTTTCTTATTTCTTACTGCCTTTGTGTTTGGTTAGCCAATGTTCTGTTCCTTTCATTAGGTCATTTCGTGTTTTTTGTTTCTTTTTTGGTTTTTACCGTGTCTTTCAATTTCTCTGCTTTCGCCCTTCTTCTGCCCAAACTGCACTGTTCCTTTCCCCTCCTTCTCCCCCCCCCCCCCCCTTTTTATACCATATTATCCCCAGAAGCGTTGCTGTACCATTTTGAAGCCAAGATCATTGTGAAAAGTAGAAAGATAGTGGTGACTTGTATGATTGATGGTACTGAACTGTTTTGGTAGATTTCGTTTGCACTTTTTATTTCCTGACTTAGTGTCCGAGTTTTTTTGTATCCATATATGTGCTACGGTGTGTATGTGCCTGTGTGTGTGACTGTGTGGACATTCATCCATATGCATTGCATTAACAATGCATATCTGTGGGTTTTAAAAAAATGATCGACCTCTCATTTCCAAGAAGGCTTTTTGCGCACTCAGTGAGTGTGTCCACTTGAGCTGGATTTGATAGGATTGGTATTTTTTTTTAGGATACACAGATTGTGTTGTTTCATGTGACGGTTGGATGATTCAAATATTGGGCTATTGACTTCCCCCCCATGTTAGACAGGGGATGCGGTAGCCTAGTGTACGGGTCAATCAACTTTCACGCATTTTCATCATGTACCGTATGCATTGACTTCACTATACACGGCACGACACTGGTATACAGAAGTAAATATTTCGCATACCACTGCAGAATATGCATTATACTATATTTATGCATCACGCATTCTATATGAGGTTATCCATTATCATACCTGTACATCATGTACTGTACATGCATGCAAGCTTCATTAATGCATAACAGAATATCATGTATGCATTACGCAACTAACATCCACGAGTTCATAGTAAACTTATGTTTGCCATCCATGTTCATATTTCATCCACTCCACCTAGGGTAGTATACGCTAAGTACGTTCATCCCAGGGTCCTCGCTAGGATTTGAACCCCCCTGATGCGTCAGGTAGATGCACGTGGGATAAAAGTTGAGTCTGACTTTTCTGGACCTGTCACATTCATTCGAAGTACACACTGGTGTGATTCGGACTTCACTGGTCTCAGCAAAATCGCCCTAACACGGCAGATTCGCCCTGTCAAAGCACAAAATATTCGCCCAATCAGAGCAAATTCGGTCTGACACTGCAGATTCGCGACGTCAGAGCGCAACATGTTCGTCCAATCATAGAAATCTCGTCCTGACACAAGAGATTCGACCTCAGCAGATTCGCTTTGACAACAGATTCGCCCTGTCAGAGCATGTTCTGCGGGAAATCCCCGTACTCTAACATGTTTCGATTTCAGACGAAACATATATTACACTTCTGATGAATCAGATGAAGACAAAAAGTCATTTCTACTCAATCAGATGAAAAAATAAATCATTCCTTGAAAATCAGATTAACTGGAAAAAAAAAACTGTCTGGAAACTAAGACAAACAGACAATAATGTCTGATGTCGAGGACCCTGGTTCATCCACAGTAAATACATAGTAGCGAACCAAAAAAGTTGAAAGAAATGTACGGCCAGGGCAAATACATCGAAGTCATTTAGGCTATTGTCAAAAACATTTTTTTCTTCATCTTCTATAAATATAGAGGATGGAAAAAAGATTGTACATAACGATCGTAATAGGTTGCTTCGCAACCTAAAAAAAAAAACCAACACAGTTGAGTGCCTGCCTGGCTGGTTTAGTGGTGGGAAGACGATGACTTTTTCAGCATCATATAGCTCAACGGACAGTTTCGCCCGCCCAATTTCGCGGTTAAAAACAGATAGAACCCCTTTCGAGCTCGCCGACCAGGCAACGGAACTGCCTAAATTCTGGCTGGCCGACTGGGGTACGGAAGGCCTAGGGAACGGCGTCCGACCGTCGACATGCACAAGCGTTGAGACGAACCCAAACGGTATATCTCAACGCGTGGCGAGTTGCCAGCGAGACACGTCGACCGCGGAAGCCCGACACGCGGAGGACGACGGACGACCTGGATCTTGCTGTCAAACATTATATATGTTATAGTTCTGTAGGCTACAGTGGGTTTAGCCTTAGGGGGTACACAATTCTAGGTTTTCCTACTTGTACTCTCGATCTTCCTAGTGCAACCATCCTTCTCATTCTAACACTTGCACGACGTACCACGAAAGTCCTACCGGGCGTCCACACGTCACCCAAACCTGAGTTCTGGATTGTGCGGGAAACACACCGCGCGTAGTGAAAAATGTCGGTGCGAGACACGCGGCGTCCATCGACGCCTCAGGCAGGGTCCAGTTGGCACAAATCGGCGGCCTCCCAATTGCGCGGGAAAACGAGCAGTGGGCCCCGAGATGTCGGTGACGGACACGCGGCGAACATCGACCGGCGAGGCAGCATCCATGTGTCGGAAATCTGCGGCCTACAGATTGCGCGGGAAAACCTCTGCGCGAAGTCCGAAAAATCGGCGTCGGCGATTCTGGTGGGACCAATCAACGTGGCCCAAGGAGAGCTCTGGGCAGGAAAGATGGGACCAGTAGACGGCGGCGTTGTAGTGGCCATGCAAGAGTCGTGGCACGTAGGAAATTGCGCCGCCTGGCGTGGAGCGCGGCATGAACGCCAAGTGGTAAGACGTTTGCGTGCACCGTGTTGCTGTGCGGAGCCGCGCACGTCCATTACCACACGGGAACCAGCTGGCCCTTTTCATTTTCCCATTCTCACTTCGGCTACCACGTCCTACGCCTGCGCTCTCACACTTAGTTTTTTTTTGCGGGAGACGCTCCGCGGATTGCACGGTGCTCCCACCAGAGACGCCGACCATCAGGTGAGACCGGTTTTCAGGGTAAAGGGCTTCGGAGTAGAGACCGCGTAGCTTGCTCGCCGACGTCACAGTGTCGTCGCCCAGTTCGGTTCCTAGGTTTGAGAGGAACGACGCCAACATCATAGCACAGGTCTAGGCTGACACAACAAGGGGAGCACAGTCTGGCAGCTCGTACAATCACGCCGACCTCCCATAACACAGTCATAGCGGCGGGCACAATATAGCTGCAAGGGTCGGCGTGACATGGCCGGAGACCGGCCTGGTGCAACGCCGCCGGATACCAACCCACCCGAGGGCGACATCGCCGCGCAGTTGGCGCAAGCTTCGCTCGCCGATCGTTTAGACACTGCCGCTAGGGTCACTAGGTCACTCGAAACGATCACAACGCAGCGGCAGCACGCAGCCACAGTTACACAGTACCGCCTTTTTTTGCTGCATCCGCCGACAAACCCGGCGCCGCACCGCCAGTAGACCACAAACCGGCCTAAGGACAGTCAGGCGAGGCCAAGATGGCCGGCGTCGCTCATCCGGGTGATCACGCGATGCCGAACCCGTCCGGTTACACCACCACACCGACCGGCCCCCACCCCACCAATCCCGCAGAGACGCCGCTACCGATTTATGATCTCGTCGCTCTATAAAAAATTCCAGACGACCCTAGCAGTCCGCCGCCGCTTGTACGAGATGCCGCAAAGACACGCCCTCGCCAGCCGCAGGAAGAGGAGTCTTCATCTAGCGAGGACGAGGATGAATCCCAGCCCAATGCAGGACCTAGACGCCAACGTCGACCACTCACACGAGCTGAGAGGGATCGAAGGAAGATAGAGGAGGCTTTAGGGGTGGACGAAAGGGAAAATGCGCTCAACGCAAGCGTGCCACGAGCGGAGTTTACGGCGGCGGAGTTCATCGTTGAGGATCTAAGGAACACCGACATTGAAAAATTGATAGCCAATGCTCTTCGCCACCTTGAGTCGCTCGAGGAAGGGTCTACGGTGAAGCAGTACATATCGTGGGCACTTGACTACAAGAGGTGGGCGGTGGACAATCTACCGGAAGACGGCGACGACCTGGAGCCAGGGTCTGCACTCAAAGACAAAGACGAAATCGGAAAGCACACCGGCGATGACTTGGGCGCCGATTGGCACACGGCCTCACGCCAGTTTATCTTTTTGCATGGCCCGCGGACAAACACGCCACGACTACGCGCTTACGTGTTGTTCAGATCGCGTGAGACTTTGACCGAGGCGACGCGGAGCGAAAAGGGCAACCCCGCCATGCGCACGCAGCCGATCAAACCCTGCACGGTCAACATGCTCCTCGGCCGCATCAAAGCCTGTCAGATGGCGGCGAAGATAGAGGCGACCCTGTACAAGGAGAAGGAGCTGCATATCATGCAGGACATCTCTGTCATCCGCACGTAAGTGTGTGTCATGGTTCGCACAAAGAACAAGGCCGACAACAAGTAAGCTAGACAGCGCCGACTTTGCATGTCGCTGTTAAATCCCCGCCCTGTCCCCACGACGCCGCTCACACTCAACCTTCCGCCTCACCCACTCCTCGTTTGCAGAAAATACGTCGACCGACATCGCGGAACCATCGGCAACACCTACACCCCCGAGCAATTCCGCAAAATCATGTTCAAGGTGTTGCCGCATTGGTTGGCGTCCGCGGGGAACAGGTCCTTCGCAGACTCTCAGGAAGTTCATGCTGATGAGATCGATGACCTTGCTATCACACCACACTCTGCTCCGCGGTGCCAGTGTACGCGAGATCACGCTCGCCGACCTCTTTCTGTACCGTCTGGCTAGCGGGTCGGCGACAAACCCGAACAACCGGCGAATGGTCTTGGTGATCGCGGTGCGGGACTCCAAGACGTGCAAGGATGCCCGTCTTCATCACAGCTACACGGCGAGGCACTTGGAGGCTGAAGTGTGTGCTGTCGGCGATACCATCCTCTGGCTTCACTTCATCTACGACCAGATCCCCCAGATCTACAGCGTCCGCTTGATCCCGCCGCTGGACGTACGCCGACCAGAACTCTGGTACGAAAAGCATCTCTTCTTCTCCAAGACCGACAAAGAGCAAGGCATGCTGCCGTCGTCGAGCCAGCAACGAATCACGCGGCAGTTGTGGATGGCGGACAAGGTTTTCATCAAACACAACGTGCACGCCGCTAGGGCCGGCGGGGCACAGGAGCTGGCTGACCAAGGTACTCCGCGCGCCGAGATCGCCGAACTGGGTCACTGGGCGATAGACAAGATGACGAGGAGTTACATCACGTCGCTCCCCGTCGGGGTGGTGATGAGGAAGGCCGGCTACTCGGGAGCCAGAAGCGACTACTTTTTGGGGCGCAGCATGTTGAATCCCGGCCCAGACCTCGAAAAGATGATCGCCAAGCACATCTTCCCCAGCGTGGAGGATCAATTGAAGGATGTGAGTAAATCGACGCCGACATCTCATGCTTGTCGTCGCACTCCCCGTGCTTGTTAAAGTTAGAGAAGCCATGGATGGCGAGAGTGTTTGGTGAGGTAAAAAAGTTGAACTAGGAAGAGAAAAATGTCGAGGTACAAAAGAGAGATGGTTGGAAACCCTAATCGAACCTAGGGTGTGTTCGGTTTGTACTAACAGCTACAAAATGAACCTAAAATGAACCTGAATGCATAACGCTCTCTAAGCATGGAGAAATAATATAAGAACACCAAAATAAAGACCAGAGCGAGCTCTAGCCTACTCCAACAGTGCTAACACCGACTTTGCACGCTTTCATGCAGGCGGAAGAGCTCGCAATGGGGCCAAAAGCGAACACGGCCGCCGTGCACTTCATCCAGACCATGCTCGATGCTCGCCGCATTGCTGCCGAGGATCTCGTGGTGAAGCTCGCCCGCACTCCATGGCACCCACAAGTCGAGGGTTCCATGCTTTCTCGGGATGGCGGATTTCAGGCGTGGGCGAAGGACGTCGAGAAGATTGACACCGAGACCATCGCCAAGCGCCGGTCGCCGATCGCAACGCAGCCAGCTGTAAGCACACTAAAAGTCGGCGTATCCACAAATCAAGCGTGCGTGCCTGACCTGACGCCAATCATCCTTTCCTGGCCTTTGCAGGAAATCACGGCCCGCTTGGACGCCGAATTTCAGGTCAACCTCCTGAACGAGACGCTGACGCACGAGAGGCTGCAGGCCACAGTGAAGCAGATGGACATGGAGAAGGAGATCGCGGCGGCGCAGGCTACCATCGCGGCGAGGGACGCCGAAATTGCCCGGCTGCTGGATGAGCTCAAGATCTCCGAGGCACGGAGGGCCCAAGCCCCGGCGGCGCCGTCCCGGCCGACGACACTGGAGGAGGAGGCAGCTGCGGGCGAGAAGGAGGCACAGTTGAAATCCGACGCCCGATACGAGGCCCTGGTTGTCGCTCCCTGGAGAGAGGCCGAGACTGTGGCCGAGGCGTGGCGCTTCTGGAACTGCCCCACCAGGGCGGACACTCGGTGTCTCTGCGACAGTATCAACGAGCTCGGTTTCGTCGCCCGGCACAGCCTCCTGGGCAAGTCTTCAACCAACGTAAAACAGGGGGAGATGCGCAGAATGCGGAGGGCCATGGAGGCCGTGCGCCGCTTTTGCGCGACAGACGGAGAAGCCGACACTGCGGCCGTCGTCGCAAAACTCGACATGATCGCTGGGCCGGGAATAGTCACCTTCTGCGATGCCCTGACGATCCTCAGCGAAAACGCGACACCGATACGGACGGAGGGAGACAACGGCATCAAAGGGCTGCTTAAGGGGGAAAAGCCGAAGCTGACTGTTGCGTGGGGACTGGTGGCGGCGGGGTACATGACCGACAAGTGGGGCGAGGACATGTTCCCGACCACGTGGAAAGAGCAGAAAGCTGTGGCGGCCAAAGAGGCCTCGAAGCTGGCCGCTGGAAAAGCGCCGCCGCCGACGAAGACGAGCAAGCGTAGGAAAAAGGGGTGATGTTCAGGGGGTTTCGTCGCCGCTTATCGACGATTGTTGGTCTAGATGTGACTTGTGTTCGCATCTTTGTTGACTGCGCATTCTCTGTTTGTCATGCCGGCTAGGAACATTTCTAAAGAAACAAGAACATATATTGGCGTCTTAGGTTTAACAAAGAAAAAACACCATAGTATCACAGCAAAATTGCACACTGAAAGTCGGCGCCAAACTAATCCCCCGACCGCCCCACTATCCTGCCAAAATCCTGCCACCAGTTGCGCCGTCTGTGTAAAACAAGAGCAAAGCACTAGCAACGAACCTCGAAACCCGCCGACGAAGCACAGTCCATGTGTTCCACCGCACGCCGTCAACGCCGACCACACACAGCACTGGCTGGAAGCAGAGGCAGCCGGCCGCATGTAACAGATCACGCGACCGCGGCGTGCTTCGCGTTCTGTCCCTTCTGTCCCTTCTGACCCTTCTTACCCCTGAGGTCCATATCATGTGACATCTTCTTGTCCACCGGCACATCGATGCCGCGTGCTCAGAGAAGCGGGCCACCGGCGTTGCACGACCCCCAAAATGCGAGGGTCTCGATGGTCGTCCTAGCGATCAGAACGGCTTCGGGTTTGGGGGCGTCATCCCGGTAGACCTTCCAAAGGGCAGCACTCTGCAACCTATCTGTGACGTCGCACGGAACCTCGCCGGGGACGGCCTGCCTCGAAATCTCCGTTTCCATCACCGCTACCACGACGCTGTGACACAGGTCGGCAAAGTCGGTGCTCGCAAGACAAACCAGTGCCGCCGCCTTCCCTTCACCCGCCGCTTGGCCGACCGTGGCCTTGGTCTCGGCTCAGCACCACACGGCGCAAGATGAAGCAGCGACAGCTTCGGCCAGCCGAGCGGCTTCCAGCTCACATCTCGGCAAGGCACTAGCTGCTACTGGACCAAACACCGCGCACATCGAAACACGGTTGATGATGTCGCTGAACTGCTGCTTACGCTTGGCCGGGTCGGGATCATCGCCGAACCACACCGCCGGCCTCAGCATTTTCACCAGCGAAGGGCCTGAGGTCGTCTTCTGTTTGAAGTTGGCGAGGACAGTCTGGAACCTGTCACGCACGAAAATAGAACACAAAGGTGTTAAGTCGGCGCAGAAACCCGATGTCAGCCCTCTATCATGCCGCTAACCATACAACTATTCCCCACATTCTTACCGTGCACGAAACATGACGGCGCCGCGTGCCCACATCACCGTCCACATCCCCTTCAGTATCACCTTCGCCACTTCCCACTTCGACTTCCAGCGGTTCAGGTCGTCTACTTTAACGCCGGTCATCTCGCCCAACAAGATTGGGCTGACGTATCCGTCAAAGATGGACATCGCAAGCCCGTTGAGGTAAGCCACCTCCATCCTGTCGTCTGACCGGCACGTGTAGCGCGACTTACCAGCCACGTTGATCTCGCCCTGCCACCCGCCCGCGCTCGTCCTGTCCAACCTGATACCATGCCCCCTGCGATCTTTCGCCGCGACAGGCTTCTTCGATGCGGCGGCTTTACCCTTCCGCTTCTTCTTTTGTTCGGCGACGGCCTCCGTACGGTCGGCTTGTCCAGCCACTGAAACGACAGCAGGGTGGCGTGACGGTCCGGCAGTACCCGCCTGGTCTGCCACTGTGACGCCTGCCGACCGGCCCGTAGGTACTGTCTGGCCGGCCTGGCCTGCCACCGAAACGCCGGCCTGGCCCATGACGAATGCTGATCGGTCCGGCGGCGGCCCGGTCTGGAAGGTGGGATCGACCGGTATGAAGCCAGCAGGATAGAGGGACTGTAAGGACGGACCAGCCTGGCCAACAGCGGTGACGCGGGTCGACCGTTCCGACCCTGTCTGCCCGGCCTGGTCGGCCGCAGAAGTATCGGTCGGTCGAAGCTCCTCAGCAACGTTGGCCGACATGGCTTCCCCAGTCTGCTGATCGGCCAGTGCGTTTGCGTCCATCAACCCTCGAATCAATTCCACTTCATCGTTCGCGATGACATCATCGTCCCCGATGATAATGTTGTTGAAAATCGGGTCAATCGGCATCTCCCCCAGGCCACCGGCCCCGGCCACCGCGCCAGCTGCGTTTTTCTCAGACGCCGCGCCGACCTGGTCATGCGGTCGAACCGCCTGTCCTGTCTCGTCTGCCGCTCCTTGCTGTACGGCCTCGCCCAATTTCACCGTGGTCGGCGCAGCGCTGGGACCTGTTGCTGGCGGGTGAGGGGATGGTTCTGCCGCCTGACGCGCGTTGATCTCGGCCAGCAGGGAGGCCGAGACCGGGTCCGATGGGGCGGGACCGCCGACGGGGTGCTGCGTGGTCGGCGCAGCACTGGGACCTGTTGCCGGCGGGTGAGGGGATGGTGCTGTCGCCTGACGCGCGTTGATCTCGGCCAGCAGGGAGGCCGAGACCGGGTCCGATGGGGAGGGATTGCCGACGGGGTGCTGCGTGGTCGGCGCAGCGCTGGGACCGGGTGCCGGCGGGTGAGGAGATGGTGCTGCCGCCTGACGCGCGTTGATCTCGGCCAACAGCATGTCCGAGACCGGGTCCGATGGGGCGGGACCGCCGACGGGGTGCTGCGTGGTCGGCGCAGCGCTGGGACCGGGTGCCAGCGGGTGAGGGGATGGTGACGCAGCTTTACGCGCGTTTATCTCGCCTAGCAGCATGGCCGCGACCGGGTCCGATGGTGTGGAACCGCCGACTGGATGCTCCGTGCAGGGTGCAATTGTCGAGGGGCCGGCGACGGGATGCGGACCCACGTGAGGTGTTGGTACACCGTCGTCGGGAACCGCGACGGTAGGCGGGTGCAAGGGCGCCTGTAGTGCGCGAAGCTGCTCCATCAGCGCTCTCGACAGGGGGTGCTCAAACACCACGCCGGGATCGCCCGTGCCCCCATCCCTGCTGACAGAAGGAGCGGGAACCTCGCCTGCCTGTGCCTGCAATTGGCTCGACGACGCCTGTTCGACGACGCGCGGAACGCCTGTAACGCCAGCCGGATGCAAACCGGTGTTGCCACGTGCACCGGTCGCCGGGTCTGCGGTGTGGAGCACTGCATCGGCCTGCACCCCAACAGCAACAGTGCCGCCGTCGTTGTTGGCACTTGCTTCGGTCGCCGAGTGGGTGGTGGGTAGCACCGCATCGGCCTGCACCCCAGCAACTTCCAGATTACCGCCAACGTCGGCCTGCAGTGGTGAAATCTCGGGAGCACGAGGACGGGGTACCTCTGGACCCTTCTGTCTCGCGGCGTGAGATGAGGAGCCGCCCGTCTGCACCCTCTCCGCGGCGGCAGCCCTACCCTCCGCGCTTCCGTCAGCGCCGCCTCTACTCTGCGGGCCGAGGAGTCGGACGGTCGCCCCCCCTTTTTCCTTCAGCATCGTGTCCACTCTCGGAGAACGAGACCGTGACCGATCTAGAGCTGGGACGTCGCCGCCGACTGTGCGGTTACCACCGGCACCTTTACTCCGCTTTGAATTGCCGGCGTCGTCGTCGTCGGCCGCTACTCCGCTGCCAGCCCTTGTCTCCGACCTGTGCCTTTGCACGCTGTCAACGTCCCCAGCCGACGGAGACGAACCACGCCGCCCATGCCTCATTGTAGCGAGCACATTGGGCAGGAGCGTATAGCCGACGGTACCCAGTGCCTGCTGCGTGACAGCGGTCACCGCCTGAACCAAGTCATCCCTTATTGTCTTAATAACTTCGTCTGGCAGCGCGGGGGATGGACCGGGAGGCAGGGGCGGGATGCTGCGGGATAGGCCGCCGACGATATTGGTTGAAGTCGAGGCCAGCTGGGCCTGGATGTAATCGGCCAACACGGCCTTCACGTTCTCCCCCACGGTGGTCACGTGGCCTTCACGTGCGTGGGTTCAACGGGGCATTGCAGCCTGTCGAGGGTCGCGGAACCAAGGGGAGTCCGGGAAGCGGGTCCTCATCCCCGACGTACTCTACGTTCCGGGCGTACAGGCAAACCTGCTATCTGCTGGCCAGCTGAAGGAGAGCGGAGTGCTGCTGCAGGGTGATGGCGACGAGATGCTGCTCGTCGCCGCGACCGGGGAGGTGCTCGGTCGAGCACGCTACACCGGACGAGTCCTCTGCACCGACCTTCGCCCCTGCTCGACGCAGTCGCAGTCGACCGAGGTGGTGGCTCTGCGGACGATCGTCTCAGCGACGAAGACGACCCCCAATAGGATGCATGCGCGGCTTGCACACGTCAGCGTCGACACGATCAAGAGCTCGGCGAAGCATGATGTTGCTACTGGGCTCGACATCACGTCGTCGACCGGAGCAGACCCGCCGTGTGTCTCGTGCGTCGGAGGAAAGCTGGCGCGGCACACCTTCCCCGCAGAAAGCTCGGACGCAGCGGAGGCGCTAGCTGTCGTGCACATTGACTTGTGCTGGCCATTTCGGGTGGCTGCCAAAGATGGCAGCTTGTACTTCCTGTTGCTGAAGGATCGCCATACTCGATTCGTATGGGCAATGCCGGTCGCTAAGAAGAGCGACGTGCTGCGGGAGTTCCAGCGGTGGCTGGTGCTGGTGGAACGGCAGACAAAGAAGTCGGTGCTGTCGCTTCGCTCCGATCGAGGAGGGGAGTTCCTCGGGAAGGCGTTCACCGACTTCGTCGACGGGAAGGGCATCGTCCACGACCTGACGTGCCCCTACACTCCGCAGCAGAATGGGATGGCTGAGCGGGAGATGCGCACGGTCGTCAAGTCCGTGCGGACGATGCTGCTGCACATGGGCGTGCAGCATCACTGGTGGCACCTTGCTCTTTGACAGGCGGTCTGGGTGCGCAACTGCTTGGAGCGGTCGACGACGCCGCCGGGGACGACTCCGTACCAGCTGCTGACCGGGACGAAGCCTGACCTCACGCTGGCGCGGGTGTGGGGCTGCATGGTGCAGTTCATGGTTCCCGAGCAGCATCGCGGTGGGAAGCTGGCGCCGAAGGCTCGTTGGGGGCTTCACTTGGGTGTGTCGCAGGACAGCAAGGGCTGG